TCTTTTGTGCACTCGAGTTCGTTATACATATTATAAATGTAGACGTGCGACAAGTGCGCTCATAATAGAAGCGAAGCAGTCGCAACGCTCATGCACTGCGACTCGCCCGTTTTTTTCAATGCGCATCTACGCCACAGCAAGGTGAAAACGTCTCAACTTTTCAGAATGCCACAAGTGCACCGTGCATCATTTGACAAGAACCAACCAATCAGCTTCAGCCTTTCAGTAATAACAGTGAAAGCTAAGCCAAGATGGAAGAATAGCTGATCATAGCTGTACAAGGATAGCCATTTTTAAATGAATCTAGTATCAGAGGTAGTTTTTTCAGTACTGGAAATTCATTTATTCTTTACTGAAACGTCAGTGATAACTCAAAGATAGGCCATCGCAACTATAGCTGTGTTGGATGCATCTGAGAATAGACATAACTCTGTGTATTTTGAACTGGAATGTGAGAGTGGGACGTAAGTGCCTGGTACAGTGGGGAAAATATTTATTTGATCCCCTGCTGATTTTGTAAGTTTGCCCACTTACAAAAAAAATGAAGGGTCTGTAATTTTTATGGTAGGTTTATTTTAAATTATAGAGACAGAATACCAACCAAAAAATCCAGAAAACAAAAACATTATATAAAGGTTAAAAATGTATTTGCATTTCAGTGAGTGAAATAAGTATTTCATCCCCAAGCAAAACATGACTTCATACTTGGTGCAGAAACCCTTGTTGGCAAGCACAGAGGTAAGATGTTTTTTGTAGTTGGTCACCAGGTTTGCACACATTTCAGGAGGGATTTTGATCCACTCCTCTTTACAGATTCTCTCTAAATCCCTAAGGTTTCTTGGCTGTCGTTTGGCAACTCAAAGTTTCAGCTGCCTCCACGGATTTTCTATAGTATTGAGGTCTGGAGACTGGCTAGGCCACTCCATGACCTTCATGTGCTTCTTCTTGAGCCACTCCTTTGTTGCCTTGGCGGTATGTTTTGGGTCATTGTAATCCTTGAAGACTTATCCATGACCCATCTTCAGTGTTCTGGCTGAGGGAAGGAGGTTCTCGTCCAAGATTTTACAGTACATGGCTCCGTCCATTTGCCCCTCAATGCGGTGAAGTCGTACTGTACCCTTAGCAGAAAAACAGCCATAAAGCATAATGTTTCCACCTCCGTACTTGACTGTAGGGATGGTGTTCTTGGGGTCAAACATCGCGAGTCGATTTAATGCCAAAGAGCTCAATTTTGGTCTCATCTGACCACAGCACTTTCTCCCAAGCCTTCTTTGAATCATTTAGATGGTCATTGGCAAACTTTAAACGGGCCTGTACATGTGTATGGAAGAAAAATAATGCCATATGTCTTTTAAACAAAAAAGCATGTTGAATAGCACTAACTGAAAAAAATTATGCATTGCATTAACAGTGCTTGCATTTTAATGCCTTGTATTTCCAGGGCTTGCATTTTAGGTCCTGAAATTTAACATAGTTGTTTATTTAAGCTGTGAATATTTCAATTCAAAATATTTCACACACATTTTCATAATTAAAAATTCAATCATTCTTATTCACCTTCCAGAATTCACTTCCAAAATATTCAGTCTGTTTAAAAATACGATGTATAATATTCGACAGGCAAATTTTGGTCCATTTTATTTCACTTTCCAAATTCGCTTCCACAAGTTCAGTGGTTAAAATTCGGCTGAAAATTTGCCATTGCACATCCAGGAGCTGCAGGAATAGCAGTAGAGCACCGATGCATGATCTCCATCTGCTGTCAGTTGCTCACCAGCAGGTGGCGCAAGCGGCTGTTGATGAAGACCAAAGTCATTCATTCACAAAAACTGATCTGCAGAAATGGAGCAAGCGCAAAGTAGAAGTTTGGATTATCGGGGCCAGTATAAACATGTGGAAAAGCTGATTGTGTGTATGTTTAATTCAACATCTTTGCTATTTCCCGTAGCCTACAAAATGTAAGCAGCGTTCTCTACCACAAAGGAAATTATAATGCTATTTTACCTAACGCTGAAGTACAGAACTAACATTACATCTGAGGAAGACATATATTGCTTTTGGTTGCTTCGTTTCCGTAACTTTGTATCATGGCTTGTGTGACGCTGTGCTGTAATACTGGGGGTTCCCCTCATAGCGTAACCGCAACTCAGTGAACTAATACAGTAATATAAGACCTCAGATCTCAGAATAGACTTTATTGATGATTATGCGAACTATATACAGGCAAGCAAATTAGGTTTTCATTTTTTTTTATAATTGCTTTCCCTTACCACTGATCTATAGAGTCGACAGTCCTACAAAGATATCAACACCACGATTAGTTTTAACAATATGCAACCACGTTATATCGACATAAAAAAGGAGTTCAAAACTGCCTAGGTGTATTGTTGCTGCAAATTTAAACTGGAGAAAGCTTTGACGTGCTCTCACCCAAGGGACTGTCTGACAATTCCACCGACTGGGTAAAAAACAAATTTTAATTAAAATTACTTTTAACATTTAAAATAACACAGTCAAATTTGTATTGCTCATAGTGATTTACTACAGGTGAGATTTTGCCAATACCTCCCTTCATATATGTACAGTACGCAATTATTTACATATAAAAGATCCCTGGAAAGGGTTTTTTCATGTTCCAACGGGTGTAGTGCGTTGCTAGATACAAGACTCACTTACTACAGGTTCGATTTTGCCAATATTTCCCTTACGGTATGTACAGTACACAAATATCGTTTTTTTTTTAAATTACAGTAATTCACCAAAAGGGTTTCTTCATGTTCCACAGGTTGTAGTACATTGCTAGTTACAAGAGTGACTTACTTCATGTGAAATTTTGCCAATATCTCCCTTACTGTATGTACCATTCACAATTATTTAAAAAAAATAAATCTGTAAGACCCCAGAAGGGATTTTTCATGTTCCAAAGGCTGTATTATAAAATATTGATGTACGTTATGTACAGTAAGGGAGGTATTAGCAAAATTTCACCTATAGTAAGTCAGTCTAGTCACTAGGAATGTACTACAACCTTTGGGACACAAAAAAACTTTGTGAATTACAGTAATTTCTTAAGAATAATTATGTATGTAGTGTATATACAGTGAGGAAGATATTGGTAAAATTTCAACTGTATTAAGTCAGTCTGGTCACAAGTAAAATACTAACATACAACATTTCGAACATGAAAAAACCCATTTTGATAAATTACTGTAAAGTGTTTCTTAAAAATATTTGTGTAGTGTACATACATACGGAAAGTTATTGGCAATATATATTTAGTCAGTTTGAGTAAATTATTAATTTACTGTAAACATTAATTTGAATAAATTATTGGACTTCGTTTTGCATTGTGAGGTAAATTTGCAGATGGTCCCTAAAATAGCCTAGGCGAATATGCAGCGAATATCTAACCTAAAACTACTGGCTTGGATGGCTGTGGGAGAACAAATGGTTTGGTGAAACTTTGTGGGTTGTTGGCTCATATTGTGGGCTCATATTCTGGGCTCATCTGCTTAAATGTACATAATATACAGTAATATATTTTATTAATTAGATGCCGAATTTAATCATTTATTATCACTGTCTTGAGGCAATAAACCACGTTAAGTGCTTTCTTTATGGGAAATGTTTGCGTTCCGTAACTTGTGTTCATATCCTCATCTTCCTGTATATAGTTTATCTTCAGTAAGATCTGAGTTTTGTCTTTTAATAGCTGTCATTGCGTTAGTGCACTGAGCCGCGTAATGCGTTTTCTTTAACAGATTTCTGAGGGAAACAGCGTGAAACCTTGCGCGTTCGTTCATATTCTACATCTGCTTAACTGTCGATTTAGTTCGTATCATCAATAAAGTCTATTCTGCGATCTGAGGTCTCATATCACTGTATTAGTTAACTGAGGCGCAGTTACGCGTATGAGGGGGACCCCAATATTACAGCACATCACACAAGCCATGATACAAAGTTACGGAAACTAAGCAACCGAAAGCAATATACTGTATGTCTTCCTCAGATGTAATGTTAGTTCTGTACATCAGCGTTGGATAAAATAGCAATATAATCTATGTGGTAGAGAACGCTGCTTACATGTAGGCTACGGGAAACAGCAAAGATGTTGAATTAAACATACACACAATCAGCTTTTCCACATGTTTATACTGGCCCCGATAATCCAAACTTCTACTTTGCACTTGCTCCATTTATGCAGATCAGTTTTTGTGAATGAATGACTTGGGTCTTAATCAACAGCCGCTTGCGCCACCTGCTGGTGAGCGACTGACAGCAGATGGAGATCATGCATCTGTACGGAATTTGTGGAAGCGAATTTGGAAAGTGAAATAAAATTGACCGAAGACCGAATTTTGCCTGTCGAATATTATACATCGTATTTTTAAACGGATTGAATATTTGGGAAGTGAATTCTAGAAGGTGAATATGAATTATTGAATTTTTAATTATGAAAATGTGTGTGAAATATTTTGAATCAAAATATTCACAGCTTAAATAAACAACTATGTTAAAATGCAAGCCCTGGAAATACAAGGCATTAAAATGCAAGCACTGTTAATGGAATGCATTATTTTTTCAGTTAGTGCTAGTGGTCGACCGATATATCGCCAAGGCCGATATTTGGTATTTTTTTCTGTCGAATTTTAAGCACTGAATTTGTAAAAGTGAATTTGGAAAGTGAAATAAAATGGACCGAAATTTGCCTGTCGAATACTATACATCGTATTTTTAAACAGATATTTTGGAAGTGAATTCTGGAAGGTAAATATGAATTATTAAATTTTTAATTATGAAAATGTGTGAAATATTTTGAATTGAAATATTCACAGCTTAAATAAACAACTATGTTAAATTCCAGGACCTAAAATGCAAGCCCTGGAAATGCAAGGCATTAAAATGCAAGCACTGTTAATGCAATGCATTATTTTTTCAGTTAGTGCTATTCAACATGCTTTTTTGTTTCAAAGACATATGGCATTATTTTTCTTCCATACATGTGCCTTGTTCGACATTTGAAAGTTCAACAAAATGAACTTAAATACTGTTAAACAGGGCACAGAACAGTCTCAATCTCTGTCTTTCTTTCATCCTGCAGCAGCTGCAGCCGCAGGGTTTGAACCTGCAGCAGTTCGTGTGGGTACAGCCAGGTCACTCCATCAGTTCTCAGATTCAGCCGCAGTTGATCATATCACCGTCACCTCAGGGTCAGACAGGTAAGAAAGTCTCAGATGTGTCGTGATGCTGCTGCTCCTTATCATCATTTCTAACTTGTCTGTGTCTGTCTCAGGTCTCCTGCAAGCTCAAAATCTCCTGACTCAACTATCTCAAAGCCAAGCTAACCTCCTGCCAACTCAGACCAGCATCATCCTCACCACACAGGTCACAACACTGATCAAACCTCAGCCATATGCTATTTATACTGTCACTTTACTGTCGTTTGTGATTCTCAGTGCATCAGTTCATTCCCTCATAAACAATCTCATAGATTTATCTGTAATGTTGTAGTTCATCTCAGATCTTGTTGGTATGGTTCTTCACTGAATGTTTTTAAACGAAAGAGACTTGAGACTTGATTGCTGCGATGCAAAAACATGGAGGGAATCACAAAATCTAGTCATAAAAATGAAATTTACTGTGTAATGCGGAATGTCATAGAATTTGGACAATTCTGGATGAATAAATCAAAAGTAGGGCTGTACACTTAATCAAATGCTAATATGGACTAGTGTCTGTGACAAAGACTGCAAATCTAAAGTCTGCATGTTGTGTATGTGTCTCAGCAACAATAATAAAAATAAACAGAATGATTATAATATATTATATAATATAATAGTAATCAAAACTTAATTTTTTAGGGAATAATCACATTTTCTTCCTTGTTTGCCAAAAAATGAAAGGGCTTGTTTAATTTTCATTTGATTAAAAAAAAAAATTTAATTGTTAATGTTTTATGTCTTCATTTGATTACTAGAAATTTTTAAATAATAACATAATTTCTGTAAACATTACATAGGGCCTTATATATATATATATATATATATATATAATAAGAATAATAAAGTTGATTTATGAATTCAATTGATTAGACAGAATCCAGAAAAAGAAAAGCACACACTTTGGTAAAATATCAAACGTAATTTGAGAAAAAATAAAACATGTTTCATAGGGCCCTAAAAATGTGGTCTTTGTTAAGCTTAAAAAAATGGTGTTAAATTGTAAAAGCTTCATGATTTCAATTAATTAGACATGCTTTTTGATTGCTAAAATGTTATTTAACCCCATTAAAATGAAATCCGGAAAAATTTAAATGGAAAAAAATTTAAAAAAAAACTAATTCAATCCCTTCACTGATGTTCTTCTACATATTTGATCCATGTATTGATGGAGGTGGTCCATGTTAATGGACATGGTGTGTATTGATGGAGGTGGTCTGATTTCGCAGGCGGCCACACCGACGAGCAAGATTGCAGCCATGCCGGCTCCAGCGGCGGCCACTCCAAAGTGCATGGACGCGCCGTGTGTGGAGGAGGCCAGTGACCTCGAGGAGCTTGAGCAGTTCGCAAAGAACTTCAAACAGAGGCGCATCAAGCTGGGCTTCACTCAGGTGAGTTGTGTCATCTGTGTTCATGATTGAGTTGTCATGCATGACACTGACGTGTGATTCTGTGTCTCAGGGTGACGTGGGGTTGGCGATGGGGAAACTCTATGGGAACGACTTCAGCCAGACCACCATTTCCAGATTTGAGGCCTTGAACCTGAGCTTCAAGAACATGTGCAAACTCAAACCTCTACTGGAGAAATGGCTCAATGATGCAGGTGAGACACTTGAGAATGAAACCAGATTCTCATATGCCGTATGACTTTCTTAAAATTGAGATGTTTAGCAGAATGTTTAATAGTCCTTATTCGTTCATATATATCTACAGGGTTTCTGCGGATCCTTAAAAAGTCTTAAATGTAGTTGTATCAAATTTAAGGCCATAAAAAAATGGAACAAGAAAGTCTTAATTATGATTTCAAGAGGTCTTAAATTTGGGGAAAAGAATTGCGATATGGCTGAATGTGACGATTCAATTTCAAAAGGCTATGAATTTATTAAATAAACATGAGCGCTGCACGTTTCAGTGTCCGGTGCTGTGCTGCTTTGTGTTCTGCTGTTACCGGGAAACAGTTATATTTCTGCCGCTTCAAAAGCGCCTCCAGCTGGCAGAGCTGCTGTTTTTGATCGGACCAATGTGAAAATCAACCCATGTTTTTACACTGCAAACACGAGAGTTGTAAATGTGAACTGGTGGCATTATAAAAATGTAAACAATTAAGACAGTAAAATACATTAATAACATAATACATTTACATTAATAATTGATAGCTTTTCCTTACGAAAATTAACGTACTCTGTTACTTACGTAACCTCGGTTCCCTGAGATACGGGAACGAGTACTGCGTCGCTAGACGCTATGGGGAAAAACTCATTTTTCTCCGAGGACTGAAGCCTTTACAATCACGCAGTGTAACTGCACGGCCATTGGTTCGTGCAGTAAATAAAAAACGAACCAATGGCTCTTCAGCGGAGCTGCACGATCCTATGGCGACGAAGCCTGCCAGAATGGGTGGGGCCATCTGGCTATATAAGTGGGCATTTCACCATAGGATCTCAGGTAAATTCAACTGAAGTGACGACACTGAGTCGTGCAGCGTCTTGGCATGGCAAGGAACGCAGTACTCGTTCCCGTATCTCAAGGAACCGAGGTTACGTAAGTAACTGAGTACGCTCCCTTTCGATACTGCACTCGTACTGCGTCGCTAGACGCTATGGGGAACCAATACTATCCTGCCATGTCATGAAAGAGGAACGACTGACATGAACTGGCCTTGAGCATAAAAGGCTCAGAGGGACAAATTATACGCAGGGCGAGCCCTGCAGGAGGCAAGAGGCTGAACTCACTGAGGTCAGCCCAGCCTTGGATAATCGTTCCAACGGTTTTGTACAGCCTCAGCACTACTGAAAGGGCCAAGAGCGTACCTGAAAAAACAGGCAATGCCTGAACAATTAGACTGCCTTAAGCAGGCACGTATCCATTTAAGCAGATAGAATCCGAGCCTGCAAGGCCGGAACATCCAAGTTATAGAACCTGGTGAAAGTGGACGGCAAGGCCCAGCCGGCCACCGCACAAACATCTGCTATGGACACACCACTAGACCACGCTCAGGACGAGGCCGCGCCCCGAGTGGAATGGGCTTTGACTCCTATGGGGCTCTGAAGACCCAGAGAGGAGTATGCTAGCGCGATAGCATCAACTAACCATCGAGAAATCCTCTGCTTTGTGACCGGGGACCCTTTAGTGCGGCCACTAAAGCATACAAAAAGTTGTTCCAACCACCTGAACGGGGCAGAACGCTCGATGTAAATTTTCAGCGCCCTAACCGGGCAGAGAAAGTTAAACTCCTGGTCCTCCTCAGAAGGAGGAAGCGCAGAGAGAGTAATAACCTGGGCTCTAAATGGGGTGTAGAGCACCTTAGGAACGTACCCATGTCTTGGTTTTAGGACGACTTTGGAGTCGTTAGGCCCAAACTCAAGACAGGCCGGACTTACCGAGAAAGCCTGCAAGTCACCTACTTGTTTAACCGATGCTAAAACCACTAGCAGAGCGACAGGGTTTTCAAGTCTGCAGACTGTAGGGGCTCAAAGGGGGAGCCCTCGAGTGCTCTCAGGACCGTGGGCAGGTCCCACGCAGGGACCGTGGGGGACCAGGATGTATTGAGCCTCCTGGATCCTCTCAGGAAACGGACAACTAAATTGTTCCAGCCCACAGACTGTCCTGCTATAGGAGCTTAGGAAGCTGCTATAGCTGCCACATAGACCTTGGGAGTGGAAGGGGAGCGGCCCTTGTCCAACAGCTCTTGTAGGTAGGACAATATCACCGATATGTCACATGAAACTGGGTCTTCGCCACGGGTTGTGCACCAGGCGGAAAAGACAGACCACTTAAGGGCATAGAGGCGTCTCGTAGACGGGGCTCAAGCCTGCGAGATAGTATTCAGGATGCTCTCAGGGAGATCTACTGATTCCCACCGAGAGCCCAGAGGTGCAGAGCCCACAGCTCGGGCTGGGGGTGCCAAATCGTCCTGTTCGCCTGAGAGAGAAGGTCCTGCCTCAGGGAAATGGGCCACGGGGCTGCTGAGACAGCTCTGAAACCCAAAGCTGGTTCCTCCAGAGCAGGGCCACCAGAAGGACTCTGTGTCTGTGTTCCCTGACTCGTCTGATTACCTGAGGGATCAGAACGATCGGGGGAAAAGCATACAGGAGGAGGTTAGGCCAATTGTGGCCCAACGTGTCCTCGCTCTTCAAAAAATAAGTTGGGCAATGAGAGTTGTCTTTTGAGGCAAAGAGGTCGACCTCTGCCCTGCCAAAGATTTCCCAGATTCTCTGAACCGTTTGTGGGTGGAGCATCCACTCCTCTGAGGGGACGTTGCTCCGAGATAGCATGTCTGCTCCTCGGTTCAATATGCCGGGCACATGTGCTGCTCTCAATGAACGCAGGTTGAGATGTGCCCACTCCAAGAGGTGTTTTACCATCTCGAAAAGGCGTTTCGAGGTGAGCCCGCCCTGGCGATTTATATAGGACACCGCTGTCATGCTGTCTGAGCGGACTAGCACGTGGTGTCCCTTCAGGTCCGGTAAGAACGTCTGAGGCAGTTGATGTGTAACCGGCCTTCTGCATCCGACTAGGAGCCGAAGGTTGGTCTGCCTTCGCACAGAGCTCCCCAACCCATGTTGGATGCATCTGTCAAGACAACCTTCCTTCTGTGAATCAAGCCCATAGTCACGCTCTGCTTGAACCACTGTGGGTCTTTCCAAGGTGCCAGAGCTGTTACACAGGCCTGTCTCACCCTGACACGAATGCGTCCGTGACGTCACGCATGGGGCGGAATTTGAGGATTCAGCCAGTACTGAAGGGGTCTCATGCGGAGCAGGCCCAGCTGTAGTACCGGCGATGCAGAGGCCATGAAGCCCAGCATCTTTTGAAACGTCTTGAGAGGGCGAGAGGCTCCGATTTTGAAAGATGCCGCAAGCTGTTGTATGGCCAGTGCGCGTTCTGGCTCGACTACCACCCTCATGTGCACTGAGTCGAAAACTGCTCCCAGGAACGAAGTTTGTTGGCTGGGAGACAGAGAGCTCTTGGCAAAATTGACCCTGAGTCCCAGGCACTCTAAGTGGCTGAGGAGGAGGGACCTGTGGGATATTAGCTCGGCCTCTGACTGGGATAAGATGAGCCAGTCGTCGAGGTAATTCAGAATGCAGACTCCCATCTGCTTCAGAGGGATGTCCATGCACTTCATAAAAGTGCAGAGAGACAGGGACATTCCGAAGGGCAGGACCGTGTACTGATATGCCACTCCCTCGAAGGCGAATCTCAAGAATCGTCTGTGATGGGGGGCTACCTGGATGTGAAAGTAAGCATCTTTCAGATCCAGAGAAAAGAATCACCTCGGATCGCAAGACGGATCGTCTTCAAGCGAACTGAGTGAGTAGCCTCATTTTATAATCCCCAAAAACCCAATCTGACACTCTGGGGATGGCCTGCCAGGCCTCGGCCCATGTGACAAGGAGGTGAATTGGTTTGAGTGGTAGGCCGCCTTGTGGGGGCCCAACACTCGTGATAAGTGTGAGAGGAAATTTGGTCCCCTTTGAGAATGTTTGTCTTTATTTTTTTGCAGCGTAACATTTGCAGCAAAGTTGCTGAAATTTGTTCTTTAGAAATTTGCTATTTTAGAACTCACCGGATAGCCGCTGGGGACGAGCTGAGAGCTGCGCGGGCACTGAAAGCATGGAGTGAGAACAGCAGAGCGGCACAGGTCGCTGAATCAGCTTCTGTCCACAGCGAGGCACGTCAACGGCGAGCGGTTTGAAGTCTCGTAGCTCAGCGAAGAGAAGCCCCACCCATTCAGCTCCGCTGCCGAGCCATTGGTTCGTTTTTTATTTACTGCACGAACCAATGGCCGTGCAGTTACACTGCTTGATTGTAAAGGCTTCAGTCCTCGGAGAAAAAGGAGATTTTCCCCATAGTTCAAGTTCAAGTTCAAGTTGAGCTTTATTGTCATTCTGCTGCATGTGGGGACATACAGTGGAATGAAATGTCGTGCCTCACAGGACCACGGTGTTACATAAATACAGGCATACAACAATGAAGTAAAACAGTAAAAACCTATACAGTAAAGCAGTAAAAACCTATACACAACTAACCTACTGACTGATTTTGATTATAAATATACTATATATATATATATATATATAAATGTTTACCTATACATAAGTTAAAAAAAATACAGACTATACGGATGCTTCACATAAACACTGTACCTATACACAGCTAACCTACTGACAGATTTTGACTATGAATATACTATATATAAATGTTTACCTATGCATAAATAATAAAAAATAAATAAATAAAAATAGTGTCTAGCAACGCAGTATGAGTGAAGTATCGAAAGGGAACCATGGTTTTACTCTAGTAAAAGTGTAGTAACCATGTTTTTTTAGTATATTGACTACCATTTGTATAACCATAGTTTTACTAAAAAAGATACCATGGTTAAACTATGGTTAGTGTCAGTGGTGGAAAAGGCCAAAATTCACTGGGAGAACTCTAAGCTGGGGTAACTTAAGGGTTTAGACGACCTTTCAGATTTAATTAATTATAAAAACCTTTATAATCTATAACATTAAACTTATTTCATGTTTTCTCTAAACCATATGTTTTTAGGTATCAAGATCAACGGCACCCTGTGTTATTATATTTATGAACTTTTCA